AGAAAGAAATCAAACAAATTCATTTCGTTCAAAGAAATTATTCCCACTGTTTCGCGTGTATTGTATCGTGGAATAGTCGTTCGTTATTGGATGGTGAAAGAACGTGGTATTGTATTGGGGGATGGTTCTGGGGGGGGGGGAAGGGGAAACGGTGACACGCGGGACGTGTCGGAGTCAATGGGTGATAAATTGGAATTGATTTCAATCCGGTGAAACGGAGGAGTTAATTGTACCCACGTATCAATTGAAGCGAATCTCTCTCTGTGAATCGAGCGAGCCGATTAATTGACCTTTTCAGAGTGGTCTCTCTCTCTCTCTCTCTCTCTATTGAAAATAAAAATTAATCCTCTATTTCTATTTGCCTATATATAATTCGTTAAAAAAAAAGGATATCTATTCCAGCATTTATTATCAAAAAGAAATCTGTTGGAAGAATAAAATTAAAAAAAAGAAAAAGACAGATTAATTAACGAGAGCACAAATTTTTGCAGAGAAAGTGTTGATAACCAGGCTGACTACGCAAAAGTGGCTGGACGTCGGGCCAAATTGGACCGAGGACGAGTACAGGAGCGCCCATTCGAAAATGGTGTACGAGTACAGGGTGACTTGCGTGGCCCATTATTACGGCAAGGGTTGCGAGAACCTGTGCAGGCCGAGGGACGACAACTTCGGCCATTACAGCTGTAGCCCGAGCGGGGAGCGCGTATGCCTCTCTGGATGGAAGGGCGACTACTGCAATACCCGTAAGTCTCTCTTTCTCCTACTTCTTGCTCCAACGTCTATTATCGTATGCACGTAATATGCGTGCACTCCCACGCTTCCCATCGCGACTGCACCACGCGTGACATCCCTCCTTTTTTTGTAGGAATTCCGTGTATGAAATTACAGAGACGATCTCTCTCTCTCTCTCTCTCTCTCTCTCTGTTCATCCCTTGTCCCGTGCAGCGTAATTCATACACCGAGTTCAACACGAGGTAACCGGAGAGAGACTTTTAGGAATTTTAGGATTTTCAAAGGAATTGTCGAATAAAACGATTGTCTCTATAATTTTCACCGACAAATATTTCCAGCATTTTTTAACGAGTTTCTTAATTCAACGAGAGAATCGAGGAAGAGTCACCCTCCCCTCGCTTATATAACATTTCGTTCCAGGACGTTAAGCCGTTCTCTCTATTCTCGTTCGTGGCACGAAACTCGACAAACTCGACGAGTCCACGAAGGAGAGGCCCGGTGCAGTGTCGGTGCAGTGTCGGGTCCGAGCGTGCACCAGCTTCCCACGCTTGCCTCGCGCGCGCCTCTGTGTCGGAAAGAGAGGACCTCCTCCCCTCTCCCTCCTCGCCTCTCCCTTCTCTCGTTATATCCGTATCTGCCGTCTATCCGTCTCTTACGCTCGCTCACACACACACACACACACACACACACACACACACACACACACACACACACACTACTC